TATGGCCAACCACAGTCTGAGTCCCAGACCCAGAGGCTTGAAACTCACGCCAGGCACATATGTGTGCATGCCCACAATCCCGAGAGGAGAATGGAGAAGGGACCGCAGTGTGGCCATCTACCCTGGAGGGTGATTTCTCGCTTTCTGTCTCTTTTTCTCTGTCTCTCCAGTGAGTGTATGTGCCTTACAGTCAAAGAATTTCTGGGGGTGGAGAAGAAGAGGGAGAGAACAACAGTAAGTCAGGGATCTGTTGTTTAAAATACAGCTTGCTAAGTACACAACACAGCAGGTGGACGTCCGCCCACTGCTTCTCCAAAGCCTGTTCTGTGAGATCAGGAATCCTCCCTACAATGGTCACCTGAATTTGTAGTCGCTGGCATTTTCTGCCCACTTCGTTTCCTCTCTCTTTCGAAGATTTCCCTATGGCTGACTACAGGAGTCCATCTTCAGGTTCATCACAGTGGCCTCAGTGTTGGAGATGACTCACACCTTCCTGCCTCTCCCTACCTCCCCACCTTTCCCTCCCTCTCCTTACCCCTCTTCACTGCTGGGGTTTACGTGGGGCCTCTTCTCTCTTGCCTATACTGGACTCCATCTTGGGATGTCCGACAGCATCTCTGCCTGGCAGCTCCCCAATGTGCTGCTCCAGCCCGGACCCACAAGTCCAGCCTCAGACTCAAATCCCTGTGATAATATACTGGGACATCTGCTGGACAAGGTAAAATGTCCCTCATGGAGCCTGTTCTTCTGCAGTTCCTCCACCTCATCCTCTGGTTTCTCCAACAAATCTTGGCGGGGAGTGGGGGGTAGGGGCATGCGACTCCATTTTTTTCTCTGACAAGCCCTGGCCAATCCATGAGCAGATCCTGGTAGACACACCTTTGAGGTATGTTCAGAACCCGATACCGCCCTTCTGCTCTGCCTGCCCTACACAACAGCCTTCTCGACATCCCCTGCCTCAGCTTTCTCTCCCCCCTGCTTCCTCCAACCAGCTGCAGCCTGCTGAAGGAACTGCAGGGCTAGGCCACTTGCTTGACTCCTCCAGTGATTCCAACCTAACTCAGGAACACAGGACCTCCGTTTTAAGAGACCTACAAGATCTGATACCTTCCTCTCCCTTTGCCTCTCTGGTCTCTACTCCCATCTTCCCCACCTCCTTCATGACAACTTCAAGGATATATGCTGAGCCTCAGGAGCACCAGAGTCTCAGCACTTGGTCAAATGGTACCTTCTTAGCAAGGTCTCCCTTGATGACCCCATTTGATATGGTGCCATCCCCAAACCTCACCATCCCCTCGCTCCATTACTGCTCACAACAGTCATCGCTATCTAATATCCTTTCCAAACTGCTCATTGTCCTTCTCCCTCCTGCCCCATCAGAAGGTGTGTAGGGTCTTGTCAGCTTTGTTCTCTGATGAACTCTGAAGCCTCATGCACTGCTAGCACCTGGCAATCAGTGAGCAAATGAGTGGTCAAAGCCTTAGAAGATCTTTGAATAAGGGTTCAACTATACTCGGTAATCTGCATTTTCCTTCCCTCCTTCCTTCTTTCCTTCCTTCCATCCATCCATCCATCTCATTTCCAGAGGGTGCATGTGTTAACCAGAGAAAGAGAACTCACGTCCCAGCAGGGTGGGGTCACACTGCAATCCCTTTGCCTCTATTTCTCCACCCTATTAAGATTTTAGGTATATATGCACACAGGCCCAGTGTGTTTTTCACAGTGCTGGGGCAGAGATTTGAACTATGGTCAGCCATGTGCACAGCACTTAACACTGCATTGCTGGGTCAATCTAATAACTGCATTTGCTTTTAAAGAATAATTTTATTTAACTTTATTTATTATTATTATTTTCCAGTTTGATCAGAGAGAGAGGGACAGTGAGAAAGCAAGGTCCAGTACTCGAACTGCAGTCAGCCATGTGGAAGTCCAGTGCCTTTAATCACCACACCACCTACCGGCCCCCGCTAAAAACTGCATTTTAAAAGGCAAGTTAGGGCCAGCTCTGTGGTACAGGAGTAATGGATTCCTCAAAAAGTCAGTGACCATGGTTTGGAATGCCCAGCCTGGTCAGCCCGAAACACCCTGGGCATGCGCACTAGTGTTCAAGATCTGATGAAAGACTGAAGGAAAGGGATCAGAGCACGACTAGACCCTATGAGGATGCTTGTCTCTCTTCCTTTTTCTCTCTCGCTCTCATGTGTATGCACTCTTTCATGAATTTTTAAAAAAGTAAAAGACAGGTTAAGATGATTAAACATTTTAGAAAGTTTTTTGGGTATACTAAAAGCCGGTTTAACAGAATATCTAAATAAACCTCTTTTCTTATAAATCACTCAGGTTCATGTATTCAGTTATTAAGCAACATAGAACAGTCTAAAAGAGGGAGGAACCACTTAATGGGTATCGGGTTTCCTTTCCTGGTGTTTAAAATATCCAGGAACTACAGAGTAGTATGGATACACAACACATGTACTAAAGTCAATTAACTGCACACTTTAAAGTGGACAAATGGTGGTTTTTATGTGAATTTTACTTCAATAAAGAAAAAAAAATATGGGGAACCAGCAGTTAGCGTAATGGCTATGTCGCTGGACTCCCATGTAGTCGACTACGGTTCACATCCCGGACCCGGTGGCTTAAAACTCATGCCGGGCGCGTGTGCGTGCATGCCCAAGATCCCAAGAGGAGAATGGAGGAGAAGAGATTGCGGCGTGACCATCCCCCCTGGAGGGTGATTTCTCGCTTTCTGTCTCTAATGTCTCTCTCTGTCTGTCTGGTGAGTGCACGCGCCCTATAGCGAAAATCTCTCCAAAGGGGGGGGAAAAATATATATATATATATGACAACAATAATGATCACCACACTCTT